TGAGAGGATGCCAGATTGAATTTACAAGCAGAAAACTAGGGGCAGACGGTTCACCGGTCGACCAAAACTAATATGGATTGACGATATAGAAAATGACCTACACTTAAATCAGCTGGGGGGGTTTGAGAGGATGCCAGATTGAAGTTACAAGCAGAAAACTAGGGGCAGACGGTGCACCGGTCGACCAAAACTAATATGGAGTGACGATATAGAAAATGACCTACAGTTAAATCGGCTGGGGGGGGGGGGTCACGCATGTAGGAGAAAAGCCTTGGATCGATCCGAATGGAAGGATGTGGCGGAGCAGGCTAGGGTCCTTCACGCAGTGATGCAGCAAGGATAAGTGCGGACCGTGAATTTCGCCGCCCCTTTCCACGCAAAAAAACAACAACAAAACAAACAACTCTACAGATGGCCAAAACTGCCGCCGGGGGCCCCTTCATTGAAAAAAAAAAAGTTCCGCCCTCTACGCACCCCTTCCTCCGCCACCAGCGCCCACATGGGCTGTAAGTGGATTAAGCACCAAGATATTCGTTGTTCAATAGAATTAATTATTTAATTCCAAAATATTTGAGGAGAGAGGAACATGACAAGACGGTACAATTTAAAAAGACATGTTAACAAGGTACGTCATCCATTCATCTGATTGAACAGGCGACACATCGACGACGTCATGGGAATATGTGTGTAGGACTGCGTGCTGTGAGTCTCTGTACAGCACACTTACACTTACTCTTTAGTTCTATTTCAATGGTCACTGGCTCGTTAGGTTGTAATGGCCATTGGCTTGTTAGGTTGAAATGGCCACTGGCTCATTATGTTGCAATGGCCACTGACTCGTTAGGTTGTAATGGCCACTGACTCGTTATGTTGCAATGGCCACTGGATCGTTAGGTTGTAATGGCCACTGGCTCGTTAGGTTGTAATGGCCACTGGCTCGTTAGGTTGTAATGGCCACTGGCTCGTTAGTTTGTAATGGCCACTGACTCGTTATGTTGCAATGGCCACTGGCTCGTTAGGTTGTAATGGCCACTGGCTCGTTAGGTTGTAATGGCCACTGGCTCGTTAGGTTGTAATGGCCACTGGCTCGTTAGTTTGTAATGGCCACTGACTCGTTATGTTGTAATGGCCACTGGCTCGTTAGGTTGTAATGGCCACTGGCTCGTTAGGTTGTAATGGCCACTGGCTCGTTAGGTTGTAATGGCCACTGGCTCGTTATGTTGTAATGGCCACTGGCTCGTTAGGTTGTAATGGCCACTGGCTCGTTAGTTTGCAATGGCCACTGGCTCTTTAGTTTGCAATGGCCACTTACTCGTTATGTTGCAATGGCCACTGGCTCGTTATGTTGCCTTATAATTCAAGAAACATCGTCAGTGTGTCGTCCCCCCCCCCCGTCCCATCCCACCCCCTTTCCACAACCCCTTCCCAAAAAACCGACCCTTGTCGGGTTATTTATTAGGTATTGTTTGACTTATGAAGTAGGCCTCTGAGAAGGTCGCCATGGTGGGCTCCTCGTGGTAAGCCATTAAGAGCCGTGCTGCCACCGAAACAGATATCAAGCACGCTTATTTATAGCGTAGCTTGTTACCACTGACACAGGGATTCTAATTGAGCAGAGGAAATACTGATTAATAACAGCAGCCATTTTTTTCTCGTTGGATGTCTTTAAAATTCCCTAAGGAGTCTCGGGGTTTAGGATGGGGGGCCAAAATCATTAGATGGGCAACATTTTGTCCCTGGCACTTTACCGAATGTGGCCTTCGCAGACTTTTGAGATCCAGTGGCTTCTTTTAAGAACAGAGCTAGCGTTCTATCTGACATAGGATTTAACCGCTAGTGGTAATTTACAGAACTTAATTACAGAGCCTGGATCTAAGTCCATATCAATTATGACTCAAGAGTGTGAAGTGGGTGTAAGTTAGGGTGGGGGAGGGGGGGCTAGCAAATTTAAACTAATGCTATTCGAAATAAGAAATCATTGGAGTGGAGAGCACTTGAGGAATGTGCATGGGCAGCGTAATGGCTGAATGCTGGAGTTTAGGAAAGCAGTTCGGTGCCAGTCTCACAATCAGGCATACAGTTCTCTACTGCGGCTCTTTTCTCCCCGTTGACAAGTATTGATCCTTAAAATTTATGGTCTTATAATGGGGTGTGGAAGTGGAAGCCAAACAGCACCGATACCGCGATACATGGGCGTAGAAGTGAATAGAGGACAAAAAAAGGAGGGTCCAGATAAAATGGATGAGCTCCTTAACGTCAGACAACAGTGTACCAAATCACCAGGTGCTCTCAGCGTGAGTCCATATTGCCCACAAAAACACCAGGGGCACTCAAGAATTTTTTTTTCCTTTTGAGGTGGGGGGGGGGGGTGGGGTGGGGGGTGGTCATCGGTTGTTATTGTTTTTTTCGTGTAAAGAGGGGTAGAAAAAAAACAACTAGGCCCACTCCGGGTGAAACGAAACCTAGCGATGTGTTTATCACTCAGCTTAGAGGCTAATTGGTGGTCTTTTTAGAAGTGCTACAAAGGGAGGCCAGCATGCATGTGTTGTGTAACTTATAGCAAAGTACGTAAGGACATAATAATCAAATCTGGGCCATGTTAAAGAATACTAGTGTATCGTAGCATTAATAAAGTCATTCCAGTCAGAATTCGTTCACCTAACAACACAGAAAACGTGCGACAGTTGAAAGCCGGGCTAATGAAATGTGTTTGAGAGTACAGTGAGTTCAGCATTACGACACAGTTCTCACAGAGTTATGTACCTTAGCCCGGCTTGTTCTTCTGGAAATAGTCTTGAGCCTTGACGATCAACTGCGCTGGATCGAATCTGCAGGACGCAACCAACTACTCAATCTTCCGAACTTTAATTTAAACTTGACTCTGTGAGTTTTTGTTGTTGTTTTTTTTTTTTTTTTGAGCCAAAACAAGGATTGGTTTAAAAACAAAAACATGATTGACTTAATTGACGGGGTTTATCTGCAGGCCAAACATTCATACAGTACTAACACACAGACGTGACATAATCTATACCGAGTATCGATCTATAAGTCGAAGATTATGTTTACCGGTGAGATGATGTATGTGAGGAATGTGACAAGTCAAAATGTGCACAGAGTAACAGGATACAAGAGTAGGCCTAATCCATATTGTTGTTATATTTAAATACAATCAGTTGTTATACCATTCGTTATGTATTCACAAGATACCCATGACTTATTTCAGTTAGTTTTGAGTAATATCACCATCATGTTTGTAATCTCTCAATTATTTAAAACATGTAGGCTAAACAAATTAAACTTTGCCATGAATTAAAAGAAAAATTCAAATATAAACTCCCTCGATGTTGTCACAGACCCACACACTCACTGTCACAGACCCACATACTCACTGTCACAGACCCACACACTCACTGTCACAGACCCTCACACTCCCTATCGCAGTCCCTCATACTCATAGGGCTGGTGAGGCTTATGAACCCCTGGGTTTTTATAGTTCAAAGTTACTATCATTATATTGCCCTCGTAAGGCATTATTGCCTGTAAGGCACATGTGTCAAACTCAAGGCCCACGGGCCACATCCGGCCCGCCGTACAATTATATCAGGCCCGCGAGGTCTTTACCAGAGTACAGTTATATCCAAGTCAACGCTATGGTGTTTCCCAATGCACACTTTGCAGGAAAAACTTAGCTTACTTCGCACGGCACTTAGGTGACTTTGATTACTTTGAAGCGCAGAAAATTAATTTCGAGCTGTTTCGTAACCCATTTGTCATAGACTGGAAACTGCACCTGTAAATTTGAAGATGGAGCTAACAGATATGCAGTGTAATAGGACACTAAAGGCAAAGTACGACACTTTTGGGCCCGCTCAGTTCACTCGTTTCATACATGAAGAGATGCCCCAGCTTCGTCTACATGCGGCTCGAACCTTCAGCATGCTGGGTAGCACAAGATTAATTTTCCGCCTATTTAATGTTGATCCTGTTCGACCCGCAACCTTACATGTGATTTTAGTCTCGGCCTGCCGGGCGATTGAGTTTGACACCCCTGCTCTAAGGGGTCGTTCGCAAATTACGTCACGCAAAAAAATTACCTTTTCAGACCCCCCTCCCCACCTCACAAATTCTTTAACACCCTCACCCCCCAACCACACACACTTGGTGTCATGTCACACCTAAAAAAATTGCAAACATACATACAATGTTAATAACTGAGATTTCATTCTTAAACATTTTCCCATATGGGATTAAGATGTATTATTAGAAAACTGTCATCCACAAGCCGAATGTGAAATGACCACAGTTTTTACGTCATTTTTCGATAGGCGCCGAAGGTGTGCACGCCTGAGTTTCACGGTACCTGTAATACCTGAGGCAATTTCGACATCAAATTAATGTTTTTAAAATTTATTGCATAAAGATTTTTCAAAATTAGAAAAATGTATGTTTAGTTTTGTGATGTCACAAATTTTTTACCCTACCCCTTGTCACAAATTCTAGACCAACCTCCGCCTTTGAGCGTGACATAATTTGGGAACGAAGTATGGAGTTCAATAATGATAATTTCTACCCCAGGGAAATACTTAAACTGTATGGTGTTTAAATTGTTATAATTAATTATAATATGTTTTCTTGGTTTAATTTAAATATGTACTTATTTATGTGCTGAAAATGAATGTGTAATGTTATTTTTAAAAAAAAGCATTTCCATTGATTTGGAACAATAAAGAATCTTATCGTATAACTTTCCCAAGAATATTTAGTTAAAATATTTGGATAACTTTCCACCACAAGTAAGGTTCAATGTCAGTTAGTCAAATGTGAAAAGAATGATGATGATGATTTCTACAAGTTCCGCTACCTTTTAATTTTAAAAGTATCACACCATTTGAAAAATCAACAAGTCACATTCACCATTTCACGTGACAACAGGAAATAAATGAACTTCAAAAATATGAAATAAATTAACACTTTTTATTTGAAATTATGTATTTTTGAGAGCTTTAACATTGAAATGTTTACATCTTAAAAATATGTGGCTTAAAAAAGATAAAATTAAAATATAATTCAGATGATCATTGGTCACTACTGATGTCCACAATAGCAGCTTTAATATACATTGTTTGATGTATGGTGCAAAGTCACATTACCAGCATGTACATTGTATGATAGATACATGGTACTAAGTGGCGCCTACATTACCAGCATATACATTGTATGATAGATACATGGTACTAAGTGGCGCCTACATTACCAGCATATACATTGTAGTTGTATGATAGATACATGGTACTAAGTGGCGCCTACATTACCAGCATATACATTGTATGATAGATACATGGTACTAAGTGGTGCCTACATTACCAGCATATACATTGTATGATAGATACATGGTACATGGTACTAAGTGGCGCCTACATTACCAGGATATACATTGTATGATAGATACATGGTACTAAGTGGCGCCTACATTTTCAGCGTATGCATGGTATGATTTTTTTTATACATAAGTTGCACCCACAATACCAGCCTAAACATGAATTTTACCATACCTATGAGCAGCAACAGGACAAAGAGAAAGATATTATTATGGGATGGTAAAACCTCTAAAATATCCTCATGAGTGGTACAAAATATTATTTTCATATGGTTTCTGTCTCAGATTTTATGATACAAAGTGGACAGATGTGAAGTCCTTTTGGTCAAGCCAGCTCACTAGGAGCAGCTGTACCTGGCGCTGTAGCCGACTTTTGTTACTTTCATTGCAAGTGAGAACATACATATTTTTTTTCCACAGAGGATCTTTTTCATTGAAAATGATCTTTACTGATTCTGGGGCAGGAGTATTAGAATACTATGAGGCAGGGAATACAGACTTTTATTTTTTTTAAGCCCAGGAATTTGATACTGAAAAAAATATAAAAACCTACTTAAATGCACATATCTATTTTTTTAAATGCATCACCTACTGCTGTAGATAATTATTTAAAGCCAATGAAGAATATAACAGTCCAACCTTTGATCAAATAAATGCAATGAGTTTATAAATGATATCAAATATCAAACTCCTAAAAATATTGTAGATATTATCAAAAGCTCATAGTAATGATAACAATGTTAAAGCATCAGTGATGTGCACAGCATGGAGACATCTAGGGGGCATAGTTTCATTTTATTGCTAAAGCAAAGAGAATCAATTTAGTTGGGACATTTAATTTAGCAGTAGATGAATCCTCCATTTAACCGGCCATTCTGAAGAAGTTTAAAAAATAAATCCTTCATATTAACTTCATTGGTCATGTGTATTTCTTTATGGCTGGGTGGCAAAATCTTCGGAAGGCTACTTGACCCACTTATCATTAACCTATTGAGCTGAAACTTGGCACAGAGACTCAATGCAGATGACAACACATTCATCAAATTTTCAGCCCTACCCCCCAAAAATCAATTTTTCCTGTTTTTCAAGAGGAAGGAAATATGATGCCACTGATTTCACTAAATAAAATTCCAGATAACTACGATAAATGAGATTCTTAAAAAAAGAATATTGCAAGTGAGTAATATTTTCTTTTATTTTTCTGAAAAAGTTGTTGAAATAAATCTGCTGTGAAAAAGTGGGTCGGACATTAGAATATTAATATAAAATAAAACAATGAAAAATGCATCTAAAGGAATTTTATGAAAAACTTTGTTTTTAGGGGGTTGTTTCATTTTTTCATCAGACATGGACCAGATGACAACTTGGCAGGACTAATGACTGCTGAGGGGAAGGAAATGAATGAAGTTGGGTGCATACAAGTTGCAGCTTAGTTACTTGGAAAACAACATGAACTATTTTATCCTTGTGACAGACAGAAATAGTCACAAACTGATCCGTTACATATTTTTGGGGGAATCTAATTGTGCAATTCAAAATTTTTTACCATGATGGGGTTTCTTCAGTTACGAAAAGAATGGTTTAAAAAAAGGCCCCAAATACCAACCGAAGATGCAAATCAGATCATGAATGAGCAATTTTAAATTTTGTGCTGTACTCTTAAATTTTGTGCTGTACTCTTAAACAGATTATTTCTGTGCCATAGGGTGTTGCTATGTTAATCATACCCTAATACCAGTACTTCTAAATTCAACATAATGGAACAAACAGACATTATGCCTTGTCTTACATACCAGTAGTGCATATCACTGATGCGGGCATATGTGTAGAAACACATACAAATAAGTTACAAAGAATAAGCTCTGTACACTCTGCTGCCTTAGTTTTTCAAAACTAAAATTTTCTTACCATCAATATTAAGAAACACAAAAACCCATAGCCTTACAAATAAAGAAATATTAACAAAACCACACTTTAACAATAACTGTATACATGTCAACATCATCTTCATCCTCAGAAGAATTATCACAGTATCTTACATTTTGAAATTATTTCTTTCAGTTCGGCCATAAATTTATGAAAAGTAACCAACCAAAGAACACAGTATAGCACCAGATGGATCTTTGTGTCTACACCAATATAGATCAAATATATGTGGTTATATAATAGATAGAACATAACATAAGGTAATTAATCCCATTGCCATTTACAACCTGGAAAACATTAATGGAAATGATGTACTGATTTGAGAAGTTTAATGTTTGTTTATTCAAACACAGGTAAAACAAAATTATGATTATTATTCCCATTCCAAGGGATGCAACTCTTGAGCAAGAGAATTTTTTTTTTTTGAGATCACATGGCACAAAGTTTGAAAGAATTTTACAATAAATACAAGTGATATCTTATAAGGTCTTTAAAAAATAAATTCTTAGAAAAACTTGATCAGGATAAGTGGCATCTATTTCACGTTTTGTCAATTATATTAGATCTAATTATGTAATGTATTTTTTTTTTTTTTTTGCTGGCATCCGTCCGTCACAAAGTGATGATGGAGTGGGCTTCGGAGGACGAAATCCACAAGGCCTGGGATTATTCTTCAAGGATTATAAGCTGGTTACCAACAGCTAATCGCCTCTCTCCACGCCGCTGGATAACCCAGGGGAACATCATTGGATGATACAGCTTGGCACCAGTGACGTCGCAGGAGTTGTCGGAATGTTCCATTGTATCAATGTTATCCGCCTTTCGGGATTCCATCTCCTGGTTTTGATTTCAGAGTTTCCTTCTCTTAGATGAGTTGCCATCCAAGGCTAACGAGTCCCATCCATGTATGTTCACATTACAACTACCATTTTAAATTTTTGCTATAGATTCAAACAAACTTGTAAAATGATTTTTTTGTTTCTCAGTACTAAGGCTGACACTTAATTTTTTCTTTTAGCAGTGCCAAACCAAAGAAGAATGTACCATGACAGCTGTATGCCATTGAAAATTATTATATAAAATGCCCTGCTTTTAACAGAATTATACTGGCACAGAAATTCTGAACAATTTATTCACATGAACTTAATGACTGAGAGTATTTTAATTATTCAGCATTTCCTTTTTTTTAAAACACTTCAAATGTTCAATTAAAATCAAATCAAATTAATAAACCTGTCCCCTGTCTGGCTTTGACAAACCAAGGGATACAAATACAACTTTTTATGATATGAAATAACAGAAAATAATGTCTGGACTGTGCGCCTTCTGTGACGACAGTTTCATTCCAGCTCACTTTATCTTCCACTACAGTTTAAACAAAAAGCTCTTTCGGTGGACTGATCATAACTGGGGAAAAATAAAAAATTAAAGCATCAGACAATTAAATAATTTGATGTAGCTGTTAAGATCAGACGAGTTTCCTGTATTAAAACATTCATGCCCGCATTATATTTTTACAATATCATTTGAGACGTGCATTTGCCTTACATTATAAATAATATAATATAAATATAAACACAAAAGTCATCAAAACTACATAATTTTCTATTTAACAGTTTAACAATCAACTAGTGTCACTTACACCTGACATTTTCACTAAATTAAATGACCCATAACCGGGCTAGTTGAGATTCTTGAAAATAATGCAGGCGGGGTTGGTGCACTATATTTTCTTTAGTTTCACTGAATCAGTTGGTGTATAAAGTGTTCAGTGTAAAAGGGGGTGGGACATTAGAATATTGATTTGTTCAGTGTAAAAGGGGGTTGGACATTAGAATATTGATTTGTTCAGTGTAAAAGGGGGTGGGACATTAGAATATTGATTTGTTCAGTGTAAAATGGGGTTGGACATTAGAGTATTGATTTGTTCAGTGTAAAAGGGGGTGGGACATTAGAATATTGATTTGTTCAGTGGCGGTGGGAGCTCTTATTGGTAATCTCATGAATTGCCTTCCTTGAATGCATATTTTTTTTCAAGAACCTTTAGTGGAGGGGATGGTCAAGTATTGCGGCCGCCATTGTTTGGCAGGCTATTGTTAGTAAAATAATAACTTCCTTATGTGTATGTAACACTTAAAGAAAAATGAGGCCAGCTGGCTCAAGTCAAATGGTTAAACAAGTTGTTTGCTTTCACGTTTTTTTTTAGGGTGGAATTAAGAAGCAAACTATAAAGTTGATTAAGTACACATGTCACAGCCCTTGCTTATAAATATGTTGAATAATTGAATCTTTAAAATAAACAAACTCACTTCAGGACGGAACACAGCTGACAAAAATGGAGGTGGCAACCACGACACTGCCTGGCACAAGGGGAACAGACATAGTTCTCACAGAACTGGCATTTCATGACATCCCTGGATTGCACAGGCTGGCGACAGTTGTGACAAGCTGAAACATAAAAATTGTACCTGATTTCAAACTGCTGCTGAATTGAAACTAAAACACAAAGAGTACAGTATTAAGAAGAGTATAACTAAATGACTTGTGTTTTCTTAAAACATTAAGTGGGGCAGATATCATTCAATTTTGCACACATCAGCTAATATTAAGCATTATAAGATAATAGCCAAGCTAGTTTTATGCAAATGATGCTCCCTAATAGGAAAGATGATGTCACCTAAAATTTTCTCCACGAAGACTAGGATTTCATACATAAAGCTTTATCCAGAATGATTAAGATCCAAGCCTTCAAATTTTAAAGAGATAACCAAAATGTACACCAACTGGTTTACTATGGAGGGATAGTACACTGACGCATACTAGAATTGTAATATTTAGTAGTCAATGATTTTTTTTTTGTTTCAACATTGAAAAATTAGTGTATAAGAATAGAACAGATTCTATTTTCAAAGTGATAAAAATAGACAACTTTTCTGTTTCAAATAAAAAAATCACTGACAACTTCAGAATGCTGTTACTGGCTTTAATGAACATCAACAAAAAGCAAGCTTTGAAAATAAATACACAATGTTAGCCATTACTGAATTAGCAGTACACATTTAACAATGAAACATTTTGTTTTAGACCAGCAGGCAGTGAGAACATCCCCCCGACCAAAAATATTAATTATTCATTTTTCATCCTAATATGGGGAGGAAAATAATGTTCTCACCTCTAGAAGAGTAAAATGATTTATCAACTGATGACTTTTTACTCTGGGCATGTCTCATGTGCACAAAGGCATTGCAAACACTATTAGAAGCTGATGAAGGCCCTGCCTCATAAATTGACTCAGTGGTCGGTGGAAAAGAACTGGGAGGGCTAAATTCACAAGGGGTTCTTCCAAATCCATTTTCAAATGAAGGAGCTGACAATCTATGACAATCAGGTTCACTGATCATATTCTTTTCAGCTTCAGAGTCTTTGGAAGTGGAGCGGGGAAAAGAAAATGGCTCAGGACAGCTTTTAGAGTCCGTCTCCATGTCTGTAGAATCTTCTCCCAAACCGATCAACTCACAATTTTTGTTCAAATGCAACTGCTTGAACACTGAATTGTCTGACTTAATTATTTCATCAGCGTACAACATCTCATTGTCATTTGAATCTAGGGAAACTGCACTGGCTTCATGCATATGCCTCATGCCATTGAACAATAAGGCTTGGGTCTTCTCTGCAAATGCACATAGAAATAAATTATTATAAAATAACTGTTGGCAGCTACTATTTTTTTAAAAAAATGTTCCTACTCTTAGGTCAAAATGAGGGACATTCTTTAAACTCAACTTTTTTCATAAAATAAAGAACAGTGAAAAAACAGGCCACTTTTTATCTTATTACATAATAGTAGAAAATGATGGCACTAGCCTGGTGGAAATGAAGCAAAGCAGAATTATTTCCCTTTAAAAACAAATAATAACAAGCAAGAGTGATTTAGAGTAGGGGGGTGAATAGTCATTTTAGCACACTGGTTTTAGGAACCTTGTTTTAAACCAGTTAAAATTTTTTACAATGCATTCTCACTCACTCCCCACTCAATGTAGTTAATTGATGACCGCAAAGCATATGTGCTGAATAACATATGTGTTTGACATGCTAGAACACAGTCACTATCAAAGACACAATAACAATTATCTCTCAGTCACACATACACTGACCTATGCTATTGTTATATCATATTTGATTATTTTATGAAATATAAATAAAGACACTCTTTCGTTTGTCTTAAACAGTTTTTATTGGCTGCACATTTGAAAAGCCTCTATTCCAGGATTTTTTTCTGTTTGTAAATGCACATGTATTCCAGTAAGCATTGCTACCGCTGAGACTTATTTATTACAGGCAGAGTTTGCAACAGTCCTTGTTAACATTTTTTTTCAAATCTGTTCCCATTTCCAGACACCTGATTTCTTAAAAGTTGTTCCCATTCCCAGATTTCTTAAAATGCCCAGCCACATAAAGTCCTGGTTAACATTTTTTTCAAACCTGTTCCCATTCCCAGAATCTGATTTGTTCAAAGTTGTTCCCATTCCCAGATTTCTTAAACGTTGCTCCTATTCCCAGACACCTGATCACTTTAAAGTTGTTCCCATTCTAAGACACCAGATTTCTTAAAAGTTGTTCCCATTCCCAGATTTCTTAAAGTTGTTTCAATTCCCAATTTTTTCTTAAAATGCCCAGCTACATTTGTAAACTTATTTTGATTTCAATAAAATTGTATTTTATACTGATCCGGCTTCAAGGCTGAACCACATGATCTATTAGCAGTAACCATTATTATTAAATGCTCACCAGTGTCAGGTTGATAATGCATAAGCCAACTTGTTAAATGATATCTAAAGCAGAATAAACACCTGCAAAATCAAAGCGACTTCAAATTTCAACACAAACAGTAATTTTTTTTTTTTTATGACCTTTTTTGAAAGCTGATCCCAACCCAGTGATGCAGTTTGTACAAGCTATTCTGTTTGCTTAACACAATAAGTAATATTAAAACAATTTCTCTACAAATAATTTAATACAATAAAATAATTTAAATATTAATATATGAATATAAACAATCTGGTCTCAAACCCGATAATCATCAATCTGATTATCCTTAAACATGATAACTTAGAATTAGACTGATTTGAAATATATTAATACATAAAAATCAATAAAATATTACAAATAAAACGTGTGACGTTTGCTTTTTAATTCTATTTTGGTGTAGTTGACCAAGCAACCAACCAAAATTAATTTTGTTTCTAAAAAGGCAAGCAAATCTCTCACATAAAAAGCAACTGCAATAACTAATAATAAATATGATTTAGTAAACCACTTCTATTAATAAAATTATAGCCAAAACACACAAACCCTAACTAGCACTATGTATGCAAATGTATTATATTTTCCTATTATAGGCCTGCAAGTAAAGCTCATTATTTTATTGTGGATAGCCCCAAGGCCCTACTAGTTAAATAATGGTTGACCTAGGGTACATGGAACTGAGCAATAAAATTTACAAACAAAACTTAGAAATAAACTAGACTGAGACGCTTCCTAATTGTGGTAAACTCACAGGGCACAGAGTAAACCAGTGGTCTTTAAAAATGGGCTGGATAGTGTTTTAGACACTGTTGGGGGCCGGAATATCGTTTAGAAAAAATATGAACGAATTCTATGCACATATTTCACTTGTAGTAAAAAAACGCCTTTCCCAATGTGACGTTATTAGCATGCTCCTAAATGTGACCTCATATTATAATAAAAAATTCATATTATTTAGCATGTGTCTGATATTTGAAACAATTCAGTCCTTGTGCTTGAACTTTTACCAAGGACAAGGTTACTAATTCTAGCTAGTCCTTTTGTCTCTCAAACTCTTCCCCCTATCCCATCTTTTAAGAAAAAAATGTTTAAAAAATGAGAAAAAATAATATATCAAATAAATACAGAGCTAAATTTTAAAATATTTGAGAAATGGAACAGTAGTTGACCTGGGGAACCTCCATGGCCTATATAATCTGTCGAAGACATGCGGCCCTGCCGCTAACTGCATTTTTGCCTAATTTTTTTAAACACTGAATGCTTTTCTGTTCTCTTGTAAATAATAATTTAATAATATTATAATATTTAATGATATATTAACAAAAATTTGCTTTAGTTTAATAAAGATTTAGGCTAATGCAAAGAGATGTCACCATTAGGGGTGTGCCGGATCCGTTTTTTCCAACTGGATCCGGATTTTCTTATGCGAAATCCGCCGGATCCGGATTCCGGTACTATTGGTAGATACTTCGGTAAGTCAAGGTGGACTACTACTTTTTGTGTATGGGAATTCGCAATCGGCGCCAAAAAATCAGAGTTTTTAATTTTCCGATGTGTGTGTCTATTTATTATTAAATTAGTACTTTCGATATATATTTGAGTTCCGTTCCATTTGGATAAGTGTCTTACGAGAGACGCCATGTTTCTACGCGTTCGCAGAAGGTCATGCAGCTCGCTCAACCTAATTTCGCCATGGGGTTGGCCACGCCCCCCTTTTTAATGGCGGAAGTTGACGATACTTAGGAAATATTAATATATTATCACTATTTACATCAAAATAATTGATAACTTGTGTTTCAGAATGCATTTAAAGACATTTAAACTGGAATGTTTTAATTTGAGCTTTAACAACCCGGTAGAATCCATATTATAAATGATCAGAATTTACCGTGTGCAACACGTTGTCATTGGCAACCATTCACAGCCACTTGCATAACTGTATCGTAGTACTACCTCAGAGTTTCATTCATAAGAGTTTGCCGTGTGCAAAAACTATTAAACCATTGGTCAGGGAAAGCTTTAATTAATTATTCATGTGCCAAAGTTGAAAGTTTAAACTAAGTCTAAACAGTATTTTAGTGATAAGGCAGGGAATGCGTTGCCTTATATAAACTATATAGTCATTGCGCATGACGGGATTGGCGGAATGAGATCACAGAATGTGGAGATGCAGTCCATGTTAAAAAATGACAAACCAAGTCGTACTTTAAAAATTCATAACTTTAAAACTACAACAGCTAAAAATATGATTTTGGTGTTATAATTCTTTAAAAAATTACATCTTTTCAACTATGCCATTGGTTTATTTTTACAAAAAGTTTAAATTTTCTTATCAAAGTCCCTACACTATTGGCCACTATTAGCGGTGCTGACTCTAGCCTCTGGTATGTACGGAATATTAAACATTAAACAAGCTCAACGCTCGAAACAATCCATTAATGTATCGTGATCGTGTGGAATTAGGGAAAGAGAATTACTTTTATTTCAGATTATGATCCGGTGAGTCACAAAATCTGGCAAATTCCGAAATCCGGTATATTCCGGATACCGGAATCCGGTTGTTCCGGATACATGAAAATCCGGCGGAACCGGATTTGACCGGATTTGACCGGATAGTGCAAAATCCGGCGGAACCGGATTCCGGCACACCCCTAGTCACCATGACATCATTTATATGTTTTTGTTAAGGTTCTGTTTTGGATTCATTCCCCTTACTTTTTTGTTAACTCTTTCTCTCCAGAACAACGCTCCCATCGCCGATTTGAAATGAAGATTTTGGCGTATCGACGATAAAAACCTGTTTATTTCGGCTCTTTCTTAACTATTGGCTTTAAGTTATTTACAATCAATTCCAGAATGATTTCCCTTTGTATCAATATCCGGTTTTTGGGTGTTTGAAAGAGGTTTTGCAGAGAACAAAGTGTTTGAAGCGGTTGTTTTCATTGTCCATTTTATTTTTGTTTACAAACATGAAATTCTGAACTAACCCATCTGGTGATCGATCTAATAAAGGTTGAAAATATTACTCTGATGATGATTCAGACAGTGATTTTACTATTTCAAATGCAGAAGCTGATTCCTTTGAATAGTACGATTATTATAATCCTAGTACTAGTATTAGTAGTGCTAGTGACGAAATAATGAAATTGCTAATTCATCAGCTGATGAACAACCAGACGCCCCCCCCCCCCAGCTAAAGTGCACATCAATATGAATTGTTTTTAGGCTTACCATAGCTAAACACAGATGAAAAGATATGACAAATGTATGGTACCCGGTAAATGTTCCTTTTACCATTATAAATGTTAGCACATACAAGAATACAGTGCAAATATTTTATAATAGCAACAAATTGTTTCCAGTGGAAATGGTTAAATTTTTTTCAAAAATTTTTTGTGACGGTGACAATGGATAATGTGCTCTGAGGTTTATTTTTTTTCTTTTTTTAAGTTGATCTTTATTATTTGTGATGGACATATAGATATTGTTACACTTTGGATTATGTATTTCTACTCGTGTGACTTGGAATTAGCGTTTCGTGAACAGTTGGTAAGTTTTTTGTTTAAATTTTTATTTTTCTGAAATGATAATCACATTTATACATTAAAATGTAAACCCAAATCTGGTTTGCTTGTAAAGCGCATACATTCTCCTTTAATTCCATACCAAACTTAGCACTTTCTGATGAAAAACAAAAAAGTTATGAAGGTTTAGAGACAACATTTGACAACATAGTAGTGCATTACAAAAACGCAAAATAGATAATTCCGTCAGAACCCGGAAAATAATTCCGGAGAGAAAGAGTTAAATTTTCCTTACCATGTCGATGGCATGTTTTAATTTAATTTTTACTAGTTAATTAATAATAATTTTAAAATTTCATTGGTTGGGTAATTATAATATTTTAATTGTTCTGTCATATTTGAAACAAATTGGATGCATGGAAGGCATTGTATTTTATTCATTTTCTGGATATTCTTCTCGGTGGAACCTGAAATTAAGAGTGTAAAAGTCACTAAAAGTGTATTCTATGAAACTGTAAGTTAGTTTTCATTATTTTTTTATTTTGCAATTATTTTTTTGTTTTTAAAGTTTTCTTACTGCAGCGTGTAACTGCAGCCACACACGTGGACTCAGTAGAACTAGAAGTAGAAGCCCAGGCAGTAGCCACTAGTCACAAGCTAATCTCAACACTAATTTTCACTAAAAGTTTTAAGCAAAGACAAAGTGAATTAATTTTTTTTAAAGAATATTAGATAAGATGTCTTACAAACTTGTAGCCTGCATTTAAATATGTGGGGGGGGGGGGATTAAGTGATTTTAATTTTAACGCCAATTCAGGGTTTTCTTATTCCACCTATTTGACGAAGAACTTACCATACACTGACTGCATTCGTATTTGTTGACCTACTCCACGTACTAATTTTCACTAAAAGTTTTAAGCAAAGACAAAGTGAATTAATTTTTTTTAAAGAATATTAGATAAGATGTCTTACAAACTTGTAGCCTGCATTTAAATATGTGGGGGGGGGGGATTAAGTGATTTTAATTTTAACGCCAATTCAGTGTTTTCTTATTCCACCTATTTGACGAAGAACTTACCATACACTGACTGCATTCGTATTTGTTGACCTACTCCACGATCTACCTCTTTCTCTCGAACATGCGTTTTAAGTTGGAGGCTGGTATGGTCACCAAACGGATTATTTCTTTTGGGCATTTTATGACCGAGCTTTGAAAAATTGTTAAATACAAACAATTTACCAGCTGCTGCATGCAATCAGAGCCAGCTAATGTATACTTTTTTGGTTGCTCAATTTCCGTATTCACCACTTTGTTGACATACGGAAGTAAACAACTGGCGGGACGGGTGTAGAGGAAGTCATTAGTTTCGTACTGAGCATGCGCAATAAACTCTTTAACCCATGTAATTTTTAGCGTAAGAAAATCGAAGTGGCTATTCGCACCCGGATAACACAGAGTGAGAGGTTGGGATAAAAAACTATTTAACATATTATTGTTGGGTTTGTAAGACAAAATGAGGTATCAAATGAAAGATAATTGAATGGACTATATGTTAGTAAACTTACTTCTTCAGTTTAAATAAAATAAACTACCACAAATGACATCCAAATGGTATTTAATCAAAAGGGACCCGGGTACGCATAGCCGCTGGTCTTCACACTTGACTTTACTTGATAAAAATCAATATCCTTCACCTTATGACTTTCAGTTGATAGTAGAGCTAGATCAGAAAGCCTTGACTGTCCCACAGTGGATCATAAAGAGTTCTTGATACTTCTTAGTTTTGGAAATCTCCGCTCACATGAAGCCACAGACACACAGATCTTAAGAAACGATTGAAAGCAAGGCTTAGCGAGAGTATTGGAAGCGATTCTAGGAAGTCCTATTCAGCTATTAATTTCAAAACATCAAATATTGAACATTCCTAAACTTTGTGTCTCATTCAGCTATGAATTTCAAAACATCAAATTCTGAACAGGCCTTGACTTAGTTAAATTCAATATCAGCTGCCCATAGGTATTTTCTAATCCTTGGAATTTCTGTTAATAGTTCATCTTCTGATAACCCATGTTAGAGAGAGGTTAATTTTGGAATGGACACCAATAACGCTACTCACTTATTACTGGTAGACTCTTGGGTTGAACAGCCCCAAACATGTTCTACTTCCTTGATCGCTGATGATCTGATCTGGGGTTCACAATGAAAGCGATCAATACACTCCAGCCTCTCCCTACTGCTATCTTCTCACAGAGAGAGAGGGAGAGAGAGAGAGAGAGAGAGAGAGAGAGATTCCAGCATCTATTAATTGCTCTCCTCCCATTCTCTTTTTAAACCTTAAACTTTTCTTCACCGAAATCCCATATGGGTCTGATTTTAAAAGTGCCTTTTCAAAAGTGACAGCGCTTCTCGTGCAGAGATAATCGTAAGGCCTCTAGGTAGGTCTCCACTTTTTCAAGAGTAAACCTTTTAGCCTGCATGCAGATACTGCTGTGTACGATTAACCTCCTCAAGTAGATCAGCTCAAAGGTAAAGGTAGCAGTTAAACGTGAAATCACAGACAGCGTGATAAAGACCAAGTGATGTATCTCTTGTATACATTTTCAAGAGGATCACCACAGAGCTTTAGTCGCCGCCACACATTCATCAAACTTATCTTTCACTGTGAGCATTTCAACGTGTTGTTGTCAGTTTTTCAACGACATTCCAGTGTGTTCAATAAAAACATCCCATCGATGAGTGGATGTAGCAAAGAAGGAAAATATTCTCTCCAGACTACCAACAAATGTTATACATGAAGCATTCTCGGCAAACGAGTGTAGACCACACAAGTTAAGCCAAGGACCACACAAGTTAAGCCAAGGACCACACAAGTTAAGCCAAGGACCACACAAGTTAAGCCAAGGACCACACAAGTTAAGCCAAGGACCACACAAGTTAAGCCAAGGACCACACAAGTTAAGCCAAGGACCACACAAGTTAAGCCAAGGACCACACAAGTTAAGCCAAGGACCACACAAGTTAAGCCAAGGACCACACAAGTTAAGCCAAGGACCACACAAGTTAAGCCAAGGCCCACACATCCATTAAAAATCGCGTTCTTATTATTTGTTTTCAGAATGGTCTGAAGACCTTCATGGGCTCCAGGCACCGTGGCAGCATTATCGTAAACTTGATCTTTGAACATCATTATGTCGTCCAGTCCACCAAGTCGTAGTTTTTAAGAATGACCAAACTGAGGTCATCAGCTTTTGTTCCTCATTAAAGGGAAAAATCCAAGAAACACTTCTCTCACTTCAACTTTCCAAATATGGATTTTCACATATCTGATCCCTTCAGACATCTGGTCAGTGTGTGATATGTCAGTGTCACTGTTGAGCATAATTCCAAAATACCCCACAGCCTATATATCCATGATAAGAATCCCCTGCACATATTTGCAAGGACATTTATTTAATTATAAATTATTTGGGTTTCTGGTGAAAGGTAAGATGTGGATGTTTTTACTGCAGATGTAGTCCTCTTCAGTCTTATTATGTGCTCTTTTTGGTCATGGCGTCATATTTTGATAGCATCTCAAACATTTCAAGAAAGTTTCACCTTTCAATGAAGATTCATCTTCATTGTGGCCACGAAATGCCAGATGTTGCTTTGTAAGAAACAGTTGGGTCTCCAGCAACCTGTGCATGACATCCCTCCAATTTTTCTTCTCCCCATCCATCACAGCGATTTTGTCATCATTTGTTTTGTGTAGCCTAAGTCCTGATGACAATGTTTTCCATTTTTCAAGGCAACATAGGTGATTTTCCATGCCCCATTTTACAATAAAGCATGCATTTGAATTGGTTACGTGTGTGGACAATTTACGTGTGATCAGTTATCCTTTTATGAAATTCGTTTAGACCGAACAGTGTGTGCTCTGTAAATATGCAGTTTTTCAATTGGGTGTCACCCCCTGAGATGGTGTCACCCGGTGCGCTTCGCACCCCTTGCTACGCCACTGGTCCCAAATACAGTCCTACACCCTACCTACCGGCATTTAAACAATAGTCCTACACCCTACTAGTCGGCCTTTAGCCTACACCCTACCTGCCGGCCTTCAAACAATAGGCCTACAGATAGTCCTACACCCTACTAGTCGGCCTTTAGCCTACACCCTACCTGCCGGCCTTCAAACAATAGGCCCTACAGATAGTCCTACACCCTACCTGACTACCTACCTGCCTTTAGACAATAGGCCTACACAGTCCTAAACCTAAATCCCGGTCTTTAAACAACAGTCCTACAGACAGTCCTACGCCAAACCCGTGCCTCTTGATTGATTAATATAATAGTAGCCTTCACCTAAAGAAAAAATGCAACTTTTCTCCCGGAGTTCAACCGTCACGCAAGACGCTCGCCGCGTGACAGCTTCTTTTTTTTTTTTTTTCACTCACTACTAAAATCCTAAAGAAAAAATGCAACTTTTCTCCCGGAGTTCAACCGTCACGCAAGACGCTCGCCGCGTGACAGCTTCTTTTTTTTTTTTTTTTTCACTCACTACTAAAACTATTATTATAACTGTTGAGAAGTGGAAAGGTTGGTTGTGAAAAGGAAGCAGGACATACCAGAAGCAAAATATATATAAGAGAAAATATGATCAAGTGCAGAGGTCAAGGGGATATCCTACTAACTAAAAAAAGACCATGAACATTCATAATTCACCAAGTTTAATTGATGTTGACCTTTTTGCTTACATATTATTACATGCAGACGGATCTTTATGATTTTACTGCCAATCAACTACACTTAGTTCAAAATTGAGCTTAGCGACCTTACTGTTGGAAATTGCTCTGATACTAAATATGCAAGAACACCAAAGACGAAGAGAGAGGAGAACGACGCACAGTCTCAGCTGCACCCTGCACTGGATGTTGCGGGGGAGGCCAGAGCAGCAGGAGCGTACCACGTTACGACGGTGTTATACTACGACAGCCCGGCAGATGGAGCTGGTTCCCAATGTACTAGCTGGGCCTTTCATTAAGAAAAACGTGCAGTCTCAACCAGAATGTTTATTTGTTAGTTAGTCATAATCTGGTGACAACGGCGTGTTGTCGGCAAGAGGGTGGAAACAAGAAATGTCGATTGTTCTGCTCCTTGCCGCAATAACAAATTGAGCCCTCAGATGCCGCAATTATTTTGAAGGCTCAACTTGAACCAGAAGCGTAGCGTGGTGGGGGCAGGGGGGACAGATTCCCCGGGCGCCAGCTAGTTAGGGGCGCCAAAATGTGCTTTGATATTATTTTATTGATGAAAATAATTGGTTTGAGAGTTGAAAAAAGAAAAATGGGCACTAAAAATGGATCTTGTCCCCGGGCGCGAATCTTGTCCCCGGGCGCCAAACACCCTCGCTACGCCACTGACTCGAACCATCAAGTCACTTCGTTTTAAGCGTAAAGTTTCCCACTCTGCTTCAACTTCGTCGCTATCCGATCATTGTTTTTCTGAGTCAAGTTCTTTCATTTCCTCTACTATTTGTTTTTATGAAGAATGCAGCTTATTTAAGACAGCTTATCAGCGTCATTTGATTATCTATGGCTATAATTTAATATCTTGATGTATCTAGGATTGAATGATTAATAAAGGTATAAAATAGCAAAACGAGGTATGTGTGAAGCTTGAATAAGATAACAGGACAAAAAACAAGGACGTTTCGGCATAAAGCCTTCCTCGCCAACAGTAGAAATGAAAATATAACATTTCTACTGTTGGCTGAGGAAGGCTTTATGCCGAAAGTCCTTGTTTTTTGTCCTGTTATCTTATTCAAGCTTCACACATACCCCGTTTTGCTATTTTATTCATTTACTAAGCTTGAAAGCAGTCCTTTCATTTATATTTAATAAAGGTAGTGACTAAATTCACTAAGGTAGCCTTTTCAATTTATGCTCTCCCCTTGAGACATCTACAAAAATTAACAAACCATAAAAGACAACGTTTTTCGTACAAATCCTTTTAAAATTTGATATCGAGAAGTGGGGCTGAAAATTTGACAAAACATGCACAGTATGGTCTACAAGTAACGCACTTTATAAGAAACACAATTATTTCCCCCCCCCCCCCCCCCCCCCACCCGCTCGCAAACACACGTTTTTCACGCACATGAGATATATTAATATTCTAATGACCCAGCAGCATTTAAACAGTAGATTTATTTCACCAACAATTATAGAAAAAAAGAAAATGCACATTTGCGATTTAAAAAAAAAATATTCTCATTTAGAACAGTTATCTGGAATTTTATTTCGTGAAATCATTGTCATCATATTTCCCCCATCTTCCCTTTGAAAAACAGGAAAAAC